TATAGTTGTGTAAAGTGCAATGAAGAGTGCATTTTGTTTGATACTATTTTTACTTGAAAGGATTAATTAGGACGAAGAATCTTGCACTTTGAAGCAAAACTAGCTTGAAAGAGCACACTCAACTGTAATATCATGGACGTATTTGACGATTATGATTTAAAATAAATAATAAAATTAAAAAGTTAAAAGAGGCTCGAATGATAAATATCAATAAATATCGATCGATAAGTATCAATTCTCTTCTTATTAATTATGGTTTAGTTTACACCAATATATTTTAATACGTATTACACTGGCCAATCATAGCCATTTCTCTTAAAGAATGGAACGACTGTGATTGGACAGAATTTATTTTACGTATTAAAATATATTATAAACTAGGCCATTGATCATGCGATCGAAATTTGGGAAATAAAAGCAGTGCGTGATCGTGACCCGCGGATATTTCGAAATAGAATAGACGTTTTTGGAGACGTTTATAATGATTACAAGTTCCGACAAAAATATCGGTTAATTAAAGAATGTTGTTACAATTATATGCGCGTTTGCGTTTTATATTGCAGTAGAAAGAAAGATCTAAGTGAAATTTAGTAATTTAACTTATGGCGCGTGATATAATGAACTGTTTGAAGGCCAATCACAGTGCCCTATGCGCGTAATAAGCATAATATATATACAACATGGTAAATAAATAAATAAATGTACCTCTAAAATCATAAATGTACCTCTAAGATAGAGGCGCTATAAATGTGCGATGAGAATACGACTGACTTTAGTCGTATTACTAGTACATTTATCTGCGCCTCTAAATGTGGCACTTTAGATGTGCCTCTAAATGTGAGCTCAGAATAAGAGCCAATAAATTTCGATACTAACACCCACAAATGAATCGAGATTCATAGAAATAACAGAGGCACTGGTAAATTCGATTGGTATTGTACCGCGTCTCATGATCAATAATAGAACTTTCTTGGCATCTTCATTCAGGTCAAACCACTCCATCTCAAACACATTATCTACCAATTGTCGACTCTGCATATAATAATCCAAGATTTTTACTATTTATTTAGTCTACGTATATAATATATTAAATGTTCATATAAAAGAGATACTCATTTTAAAAGCACATACCCTCAATTTAACTTCATTCCCGCACCAGCAATAAAAAAATATTTGCGATAGCATGGAGCACATATACAGTATTAATTGCATATACTTTGCTCTTAGTGCCGTTGACTTGGTAAATTGATACAGATTGAAACACACTACCAGCGTACTTACGACAAATTGAATAAAAATAGTTATCCTGAATTTATCATTCACCATATGAGCAAACCTAGAATTAATCGCAAACGTAATATTGTGATTCTCAAATATTGAAAAGATATAGATAAAAATATATAAATGTATATAAAAAATGTGCAATATATTAGTAGAAAATACTTGATAAGAATAATTTTATATTGCCAAAAAAATAACACGGATTTACTTTT